AAAAGAGGAGGATTGGCAGATGTTAGCTCAGGGCTGATCTCCCCCCCCCCCAAAAAAAAGACCTCACTGGTGGCTTGAGGGCATTGGCACAACTCATTCTAAGTTTTCAAATCCAGAAATTTGATCTTATCAGTGCCTCCAGAGTTGCTCAGATTCTGGGGTGCCTACTACGAGTAATCAGTTCTACAAAAATTGATGTATAAACTTAAAAAACATCTTATAATGAAAGGTATACCTTTCCAGCTTCCTGAATACTCAAGACCACTCTCTCTTTCTAAAATTAACCTGAAACCCATGTTAATAATCACAAGAGTTGATTGTTAAGCAGAGTCATATGAAGAGGGATTAGATGGGTTTACAGATGTTTTATGCCAGTTTTGAAGAAAGGTTGATTAATTTTCTTTACCCCACAGGAGATTTCACCTTATAGTGATTGGTGATAACTAACATTTATTCAATTATGAGCAATAACTGACATACTGAATTCCTGAAACTATGCTTAAGTGCTGCACATGTTCATTGTATTTAATCCTCAAAACCATCCTATCATGTTGGTGCTAGTATTATCACTATTCTACAGAAGGTGAAGTTGAGGCTTAGAGAGGTCAAGCAGTATCTCCAAGGTCACACAGATGGAAGTATTAAAGCTGAGATTCTTTCCAGGCAGTCAGAATTCCATGCCCACAATCACTTTTACTGTTTCCTCTTATGATGAAATTGCTAATATCCTTTAGACATAGTGTCTGTCCTCTAGAAATTTCTGGATTAACAAGTTGATGTTCCTCTTTTTTAGTTCTCTCTTTTTCTAAACTCCACATTGTTACCGTTTTTTCGCTAGTTCTATGCTGAGCTGATATATGTTGGTTAACCTTAATTGGACGTGGGTATTTTTTGTGTCTCCTTAGCAGCAGATTTTCAAATCATCTATTATATGTTGACTTTTACTAGTTTCTTTTTTAAAAATGATCTCTCCTTGGCCTTGTCCCATGAATTGTGGGAAGTTCCTTTCTGTGGCCTCTTCAGTACTGGTCGTATACTTTACCATTCAGTAGTGTTTATTATTAGATTTGCTCTGAAATAAATTATTAATATGGGAATTATATTTCTGGAGATTATTATTTATAGAGATAATTGTATACTGCAATTAATTCAGTGTGTGTCTTTTAGACACATTAGTGTTCTAGTACAGAATTTTCATATTTGTGCTAAGTTTATTGAGGAGACAGTTTTTCTTGAGGCAGGTACCTGTGGGCCCTCCAGAATCTTGTTTGTCAGTGCCTTTTGTTTTGGCAAGTTAGATTTACCAAGAACAAGTCATTCAGTCTTTTTCTTTAATTTACACTCTTTCCAGCTCATTGGAAACAATGCATAGTGACAACTGCAGGGTGATAGGTAAAGAAACTCTTCCAGATGTTGATTGTGGTTATTAAAAGATTAACACCTGGGGGCCGACCTGGTGGCATAGTGGTTAAGTTCTGGAGCTCCACTTCAGTGGCCCAGGGTTTGCAGGTGCAGATCCCGGGTGCGGACCTACACATTGCTCATCAAGCCACGCTGTGGCAGCATCCCACATACAAAATAGAGGAAGATTGGCACGGATGTTAGCTCAGGGACAATCTTCCTCACCAAACAAAAAACAAGATTAACATCTGAATGTATTTACAAGAGATGATATTTTATTAAAATGAAATTATGAATACTTCTTTACTTATTGTATTGTATTTCTTTTAGGAGGTGATACGAGCCTGTGCTGCAAAGGTAAGTAGTTTTTATTACCAGGAAGATAACTTTAAAACTGTAGTTTTCATTGTGATGCACCAAAGAATTGAAATGTACCATTCATAGTTTTTAATAGAACTTTTACAAAAGTTAATCTGATATGTATTTTCTTTATTTGAGCTTGAATTTATCAAGGAATTATAATACTGGAACCTTAGAATTTAGCGAGTGGCTTCATATTTTTGAAGATTTAGGAATACTAGGTCATTGGGATATACTTTCAGTTAAGGATCAGCAAGGTCATTTCATTCTCTGAGAAAAATATTATATGGTACTTAATAGATAAGAGACACTGATGCAGTTCCAGTGGGTATATGCTGAGTACGTTGTATAAGCCTTGAAATGCATGCCAGCTGCACATAAATAGCAATTATATATTGTGCTGATGATGCAGCTGGTCATTTATGCCAGTCTTTCACACCTCTTTTCCCGTTTAATTACATAACGATCCTGAGAGATAACAATGCCGATTAGACATTATTGTTATTCTGGTTGTACAAGGGAGGAAGCTGAGGATTATCCAGGTTAAGTGATTTGCCCAGGACCCCAAAGTTCGTCTAAAAGTGGTAGTGTACAGAAAGTCTCTTGATTATTAAGCAGTTTCAACTAAATTGTATCTGAGATGCTTTCAACACAGCTTTCTTCCTTTTACAAGCAAGGTTATTTTCGGCACAACCTTTAATTCAGTTGTCAAGGAAATAAATTGTAATTTAAACAAGTTGGAATGGCACCACATGTTCGTGCTTCCCTCTTCTTCTGTCGACTCCCAAAATTAAGTTGAATAGTTAGACATCGATTCATTTATCACATATAATTATATGTGTCACAAAGTAAAAGGGTGAGACTTCCAGAAGGGAAGGAATTAGAATGGTGTTAGTGTGTTCAAAGACTGCTTTATATAATGTCAAATGCAGTGGAAGTATTGTTTTATTCGATAGATAGCTACTACCATGTGGCAGGCACTTGGAATACAGAAGTAAGCAGGCGATTGATTGTCTCTTTCTACATGGGGCATCTTATGGAGTAAGTGTTTCAGAAAACACTGGGCTTACCTCATCACTGAGCTGTCCAGTATCAGTCAGAACCCATCACTTTTTAACCTAATTATCACAAGTCAACAGGATATGGAATGTAGACAAGGCGAAGGAAGACGGGAAAAAGAGAACAGGCTATATTCTGACTTGGGCTGCAGATATTCAGGAAACTTGTTCCTGATAGCAATGGTGTAGTGATTGTAGCTCCAAGATTACTGAATCTTCTGAAGTATACATAGTATAGAAAACTGGAGTCAAAAAAACAGTTTATTCTATGACTAGTAATTCAGAGCTATTTCTCTTTATTTTAACAAATGTACTATATACCCTTCTTTTGTAATGCTATCTGAATGTCCAAAGAGTAGCATGTTCTGCACATATTTGGCAAAGCTTTATGGAGAACATCCTCTGCTAATCTGGAAACTCCCTGAGGGTGGAGGATCATGTTATTCATCTTTGTATCCCTAGTACTTAACAGAAGTCGAACAAATGCTCGTTGAAAATTTGATGACATATTTGGAAATTAATCAAGATCTGGAAAGATTAACCTTATTAGTGTCTTTAGTTATTCTTTTTTTATAACAGTTTTATTGAGATATAATTCACACATCATAATATTCACCCTTGTAAATCATGTAAATATTCACCCTTGTAAACTTGTACACCCTTGTACAAGTCATTGGTTTTTAACCATTTTCACAGAGTTGTGCAACCATCACCACTATCAGTTTTTAGAACTTTTTCATTCCCTTCAAAAAGAAACCCTATATCTCTTAGCAGTCATTCTACATGCACGCATACACACAAACCTCCAAACTCCTGGCAACCACTAGTATACTTTCTGACTCTATAGATTTGCCTGTTCTGGACATTTTATATAAATGGAATCATATAATATGTGGTCATTTGTAACTGGCTTCTTTCACTTAGAATAATGTTTTCACGGTTCCTCCATTTGTGGCATGTATCAGTACTACTTTTTATTGCCAAGTAAAATTCCATTATATGGATATTTGTTTACCCATTCATCAGTTTATGGATATTTGGGTTGTTTCTACTTTTTGGTTATTAAGAATAATGCTACTATGAATATGTGTGCATAAGTTGTGTGTTTTCATTTCTCTAGGGTATATATCTAGGAATGGAATTGTTGGGTCATATGGTAACTCTGTGTTTAATATTTTAGGAAACTACCAAATGATTTTCCAAAGTGGCTGCACCATTTTAGAATCCCACTTGCAGTGTATAAGGGTTCTAGTGTCTCCTCATCCTTGTCAACACATGTTATTTTCTGTCTCTTTTAGGGTAGGAAGTGATATCTCACTGTGATTTTGATTTGCATTTTCCTAATGACTAATGACGTGGAGCATTTATGATGTGCCATTCATATAGCTTCTTTGGAGAAATGTCTGTTCAAATCCTTTGGCCATTCTTTAAAGAAAATTTTTTTTGTCTTTTTGTTCACTTTAAGAGTTCTTTATATATTCTGGATACAAGTCGCTTATCAGATAGATGATTTGCAAAGTTTCATCCCATTTTGTGGATCATCTTTTCAGTTTCTTGATGGTGTCTTTTAAAACAAAAAGGTTTTAATTTTTATGAAGTTCAGTTTATCTGTTTTTTTCTTTTGTCACTTGTGCTTTTGGTTTCACATGTAAGAAACCATTGCCTAATCCTAGGTCCCAAAGATTTACTTCTCTGTTTTCTAAGATTTTTATATTTTTAACTCTTACATTTAGGCCTGTGATTATTTTAATTGTTTTTATTTGTTGTGATGTAGAGGTATAATTTCAACCCGTTACATGTGGCTGTCTCATGGTCCCAGCACCATTTGTTGAAGACTATTCTTTTCCTGTTGAATGGACTTGGCACTATTGTCAGAAGTCTTTAATCCTAAAAGCAGAGTATATTTATGTAGTTTCTTATCTCTTACATCCAGGATAATAAATTTTCACCAGAGACCTAAGTTTTTTCTTCCCTAAATCCCAGTCAGATTTTTATACTGTTGGAAGATTCAGTCCTTTTTTCCATTCTTTAAACAAATATTTATTGAGTATCTACCAAGTATTTTTTTTGTACGTAGGGCACAACAGAGAATAAGAACATTTTATTATAGGGAGACAAACAATAAAAAAGGAAATAGATAATTTCAGACAATAGGTGATATGAAGAAAATAATATAGGCTCATGGGGCAAAAAATGACTGGGAAGAGAGGCTGCTCTCAAAGGATGATCGTGGAAGGCCTCTCTGAGAGAAACACCTGATAAGGAGCTAGTCCTGTCCTGCGGAAGTCCTCAATCAGAAATAAAACTGGAATGCTCAAGAAGCAGAAAGAAGACCACTGTGCTTAAGTAGGATAGTGAGCAAGCAAGGGGGAGCAGGGTTTCATGACAAGGTTGGAGAGGTGATCAGGAAATCATGCAGGCCTTTAAGACCTCGTAAGCATGGGAATGTAGGGGAGGAAAAATTTTCCCTTCTACCTTTCTAGGTTCTGAGGCTGGCTTAAGAATTAAATTGACATAGACAGATTAACAGGAGAAGAAAAATTTTTTAATTATGTGCATATGGGAGCCCCACAAAGATGAGATTCCGGAGGCTGCCAGGCAGTTAATTGAGGTTTCTATGCCACCAGAGGTGAGAAAAGGGATGGGGGTCGGGGGCTTCAAAGAGGGGGAGGCAATTTATGGGAAGGTGAGAAGAGGAAATGTTTGGTAAGCAAAGGTTGCCCTGCCGTGCAGATAAGTCTCCCAGGTTAAAAGTTATCTCATAATAGCTCTCTTCCTGGTATAGACCCTCTTTCTAATGTAAATTTCCCTACCAAAAGGGTAAGTTCTACTCTGTTTTCAGAACTCCTATGTCTGCAGTTTCTTGAAAATAATCCGCATGCCTAAGAGGCATGTTTTGGGGTGGCACGCTCTGCCACCCTTCAGTAAGGGGTTAGGGTGTTGTTTTAATTAGAGAAACAAACAGTTGAGGTGTTAAGCTGGCAAGAATGTGGGAATGGATTTTAAAAGGAGAGTAAGAGTCTTCCAAGCAAAGACCAGTTAATAGACTGTTAGTCTAAGAAAAAGGAGATTATAGCCTAGACTACGATGGTGTTAAAAGATAAACTGAGGCATATTAAACATTTTAAGAGTTTATTTGAGCAAAAATTGATTTGAATTGGGCAACGCCAAACTAGAAATTGTTAGAAGCGTTTCACCGACAAGAGCTGGGGAAAGACTTCCATAGAGAAAAAAGCAAGGACATTATTGATTGGCTATAGCTTGAAGCCTAGTTGGCTGTGATTAATTGTCCTTCGGTTTCAATTTCCTAACTTTGAAGTAGTTACAGGCTTAGATTTTGTTTTGCTCATGTAGGCACCACAGCATTAGAGCCACCTAATGGTCTCTCCTTGTTTAATTAATTTAACAATGGTAATAATGAAGACGGGGCAAGGGACAGATTTGGGATATATTTTGGAAGTAGATTCAACAGAATGTGGTGATGGATTGGATGTGGTGTAAGTGAAGGAAAAAGGAATTAGGAATAACTTCTGTGTTGTTGCTTTCAGCAATTGTACAGATGCTAGTAATGCTTTTTAATGAGATGAGGAATGCTGGAGGGAGCAATTTTTAGGAGTGGAGTTTTGGATATGAGTGTAGCTGTGAGGTAGGCTATTGGATATATGAGTCTTGAGCTCAGGGGAGAAGTCAGGGCTAAAGTCATATTTTTTAAGCTGTCAGATTGGATAAGATCACCTGAGGGGAGCACAGCAAATACCTGAGGTACTGTTCCAGGGGTGGGATGTCAGAGAAGCCAAGAGGGGTTCTTTCCAGAAAGAGGAATGATCAGCTGTTATGCTACTGAGAGGATGAATAAAATGGACAGAACATTGACCATCGTGTTTGGTAACCTTGATGGAAGCTTTCATTAAGTGGCGGGGACAAAAGCACAATTGATGT